ATATACAAGCGCTACTTGTGTTGGATTTTCAAAAGGGCTGCTTGTTTGACTAATTCGTAATTCAGGTGTCATGGTGCATCTTTTTCTAGTTTTTGTGCCTGGCCTGTTCGGTGCACACGATGGGTTACTGATGCACACAAGCATTTGTGATTTAATTCAAAATGGTCGAGCAATGCCCATATTATTCTTAACCATTTCTTTGATATATTATGTACAAAGCAAAATTGTATGCACATCAATTTGTTTTGATGCCTTTTGAATTACTAAACACCATTTTGTCCCAAATATTCAGTGTGCTTGATCCGGTTCTATCAAAATTAGGATAAATAACACGCATGCTTAGTTTTCTGATTTGATTCAAAATGGCCGAATGGCAGCTTTGCTTGTTTTATTTTTATGTTTTAACTACATAAATTTCTTCAACATGCTTTAACAGATTTTGTTCAAAATTGTTGCATAACAAAATATAATTTTGTTCACTCAAATCTAACCATCCAGTTATTAATAATATCTAAAACCATGCATTTTATTGTTCAAAGACAAGATCTGTGACATGTTAGTGAATATTTAAAATACTTGGTGGAAAACTTTGTTCATTTGGTTTATGTACGAGTATTGCTACCCTGGTAGTGTTCTGTCATATCTATTCTTATGAAGTTATCTGTAATGTAGTTTCAATGAGTATTTTAGGTATTTTCATCACAAAGGATTTCCTTAAAACCACGATCATTGATTATATTTTTTTTAATCAGATAAATGTACCATGTCTCGGTATGTATGATACAAATGAATGCGAATCTCCATGTATTGCATCAAGAGAAAGATTTAAAACTGAACAAAAACAAACTTAGAAAATATAATTTGTGTTGTACTTGTTTTGTACAATTTAAAATGCAATATTCATAATAGGAGACATAAATTCCCTTCTAGTTTGACTGATTATTGTCCATATATTTTTACAATCTTTTTTTCCAGTAAACCAACTGGATTTTGTGGTTTAATAATGTAGATTTAAATGCAACTATGCTGAGCTATTAACTGAAATGAATTTATTGATGCATTTCATTACAGCTAATCTTCCCATATCTGAAACTGGACACAATCTACTTTGATTTGGGCCTGCCATACCGTGATCAGACTGATGATCAAGTCACCATCGATGCAGCGTACGCTATTATGAAACACAACGTGGGTATAAAATGTGCCACTATTACACCAGATGAGCAAAGAGTGGAAGGTGTGTATTTCTCCTTGCATCTGTCGCGCAAGATCTGTCGTCTTGTCTTGGTAGAGTTAAATATGCGTTCTATGTGATGTGAAATGTATTGGTTGTTCATGTGACAATCTGTGTTCCCCAAATCAGTATTGCAATGTTTGTAAAGATTATTTATTATTGTAATGAAAATCGTGGCTTATCATTAATCTGCAGAATTCAAACTAAAAAAAATGTGGAAGTCACCGAATGGTACCATCCGTAATATTCTTGGAGGCACCGTGTTCCGTGAACCAATCTTGTGCCAGAAAATCCCCCGCCTTGTTCCTGGATGGAAGGAAGCAATCATTATTGGGCGCCATGCCCATGGAGATCAGGTATGCTAATTTGTTGGTAACTTCAGTGTCTCATTTCAAATCAGGTATGCTCATTTGTTGGCAACTTCAGTGTCTCATTTCAAATCAGGTATGCTCATTTGTCGGTAACTTCAGTGTCTCATTTCATTTACATAATGTCATCTAAACTTGATGTCGGGCCTTTTGTGGGCTTCATTAAGCAGACATCTGTACGTTTAATGTCAAAACTGTAAGTGTTGTACTAGAAGTTACCAGGAGATAGAATTGAACTAGTTTATCAGAATTTATTAAGGTCAAATGACATGTGCAATGCTCCTGAGTAATAATATGCTTTATTAATTAGATTTATTTTCATACATTGCTCCTCGTGCTTGTTGGCTTACCTGAATAAATTAAAATTTAGATTTGTTTTATTTTCTGTTAAAGCAACTCAGTTTACCAGTAACAAGATGAATCCAGCACTATAATATACATGCACTAATAACTAAGTGGTTGTTTTGTATTTGACAGTACAAAGCTACAGATTTCACCACTGATTCCCCTGGTAAATTTGAAATGAAGTTCACACCATCTGATGGCAGTGAATCCAGATCCTGGGAAGTGTTTAACTTTACACATAGTGGTGGATGTGGTATGGGAATGTACAATACTGATGAGGTATGTAACACTTTAGGCAGAGTTATAAGATTTCACATTCAAGATTCGGAAGAGGGGGAGAGATCTTGTGCATGTGAAGTTTTACCCTATGCCATTAGCAAATTTTTAGAATAAAACGTATCTTACCCTTGGCACCGATGGCAAATATAATTTAAAATCTAAAATTATTCTGAGAATATGTTCATCATTCCCAAAAATATTACAAAAAGATAAATTATTTGTCTCCAATACAAGGGTATGTTAACAATTGTTCAATTTGCTCTTTTGCAAAGTGACTTAGGGAAGAGTAGGAAATCAAACGGGCGGTGCACCCCGGTCATTACCGCGGTGGTGGTGGGTGCTCGCCGGTCGACCGCATTTTATGCAAATG